TTGGCGACTTTGGGCTTGCTATGATGACGCAAGAGATCTGCCCTGGCAACTGTACCGACACTCACAGCGGGTGGTGCGTTGGTGCGTGGTTTCCATTGTTTACTGGTAGTTACTGGTAAATGTTTTTCAACCTAACAAAACTATTACCCGTATAGAGGTCGACCCCCAACTTTTTGCCAAAAAATTTGGTCTTAAAAACTTGAACTACACACAGGTATATACGGTAAATAAGGACATGGGGGGCCAGGGTTTTTTAGGGGGGGGAGGAGGGGGGGGGCAGCAAAAGTACATGGATTTTTAACATTCACGGGTATCTCTGTTACCTAACCCCCGCGTATGTTAAGGGCCGACTGAATTATTATTTTCTGGAAGTAAAAATGATAAAAAAGTATGAGTGAAAAAATCTAAACCAATGATTAATAAATTTGACAACATTCCATTTTAAAGGTCATGTTCAATGTTTCCCTGGGTTAGCCATACTCACCTGACCATCAGAGTACAGTATACAGTGATCTCCATTAGTCAAAACATTTGGTGCAGAGGACTTTCAGGAATGAGAGGCTTCTGGGTAATGAGACGACTCTCTCAAAGCAGAAAAAAAACCCTCATCCCCAAAACTTTCTAGGTCACGGAAAAATATTCTCGTAAGTTCCAGAAATTGCCAATTACATCATTTTTCGAACAAAGAAAAATATCCCCCTCTCGGGAATATCCGGTAAGTGAACGTCAGATTCATTTGAAACAACACAAAATACACTGGGATAACCTATTTTAGTAATATTGGAGCAAATGGCTAACATCAGAAGGAGATGTTCGATTTCATTCATTTTTTCCACAGATGTTCTTTGGTTGACAGTACGCAATAAAAACAATACAACAACTATTGGCCAATTTACAGTATCACACCGGTCTTTATTTTTATATAAAAAATTGGTTTTTCCTATGGTTTTTGACAAGTTTTGAATGAATTTGGTATCCAATTCCTCCGGAAATCACTTGGTTTTTTTTAGATACCCCCCTACCCAACAATCATAATGGAAAACTGAATTTTTTCTTTAGAATAAATCAAATACTAACCAACCAACAAAACCTAACCTAACCCCGTTCTTTATGAATGTAATAGCCCCTGTCTTATAGGCAGAAGTATTTATATGAATGGGTTAATTACATTTGATCTATATACTCTATCACCCACTGTAACTTTCCACTAGCTATGAGGTAGCATGTTCAGAGCACGTGATAAGGTGTGCCCACGGGAAGTCGCGTCACTTAGTGCCGAGCTAAGGCATTAAGTAGCCGGCTCTCTGGCCACCTCTTGCGGCAGTAGTTTGATATCCTTAACAGAGGAAGACGTTATTGAGAGCCATCGTGGATGGTTCCGTCTTCCCTCAAGGGAGGACGTACATTACCGTTCTCCCTCGACGGGTATTACAAGCACTCTTACTCACTCTCTCACACAAGCAGGACGTATTTTAGAAGAGCTATTTAATAAAGCCTCCGTCCTCATTTTAACACTCATAATATATTTTCCTAATAAATACAGAAAGGACAGTTGGGTTTCGCTACTAAAACCCAATATACTTTTACATGTTCCAGCCCCATTAACTCATCAAGAATCAACGGTTAAAGGACCAGTTCATGCCCCCACATCTTACCTTAATCTGTAAAACTATTGTGACACCTCCAAATATGCTGTTCTTCACGCAGTGTACACTGATTATTAAACTTTGGACAAAGACCTATATTTGGTAATGCACCGTGTTTTCTAAAAAAATAAAGACAAAATTGCCTAAACATTTTTCTGGTGTAACTGCAGTTGATGCAAAATAATCATTCTAACAATGTTGGCACTGCTCTTCCAACTGTTCAGCCACATCTGGTAATAAAAATTCAAATCTCCCCTCCCGACCCACCCATTCATTGTTCATTGGCTAAAACAAAAAAAATCTTGCCCAATAAAAATACTCCTATCGCTATAGCCAATAAGAAACTCCAACTTAAAACCCCGGCACATGCGCTGTAGACGCTTAAGAAGCAAACAGAGGTATGGAGCGACGCGTGAGCAGGTGTCAGCCCACCTCCGCCAGATGTAAACAAGACATGGCGACACTTGTGAATGAGCTTAAGTAATAATCTTGAAAAATTAATATCTCGGTTATCCTTAATTTGCGGTGGAAATATCATAGAAGAAAAATGTCTTAGTGTCTAAATATTACGAAATACATATTAATAACAGCGAAAGAAAGACCAGTGTAAAATTATCAATTCACCCAACTTTTTATTTTAATTATAAGTATTTTTTTTTGTTTTTTAGTTTTCTCTATCTACAAACATAAGTCACCAGTAGTAAGCAGGGTATGAAGGATAAAGCAAATCATGGGGGCAAAACTCAGTGGAAAACGGATCATATGACAGTAAAATGATGTGTCTACATGCTTTGGAAGTAGAAAAATTAATTATTTACCGTAAATATTCTGAAAAAAAAAATGCCCTTATCGGTGCTTGTTGTCATCTGCTCGTTTGTTTACAACCGACCCATTCAGTCCAAATGTAGTCTCACTCCAAAAAAACCTAAATTACACCAAGATGCTTCAACAAATTTGCTTTCATTGATACCAGATACCAAAATAAGTACTTTGTTTAAAATGGCAGGGACGGCTAGGAAGTTATGTAGGTTTCTCTAGTTGGTAAGGTCAGGTTCCATTAGGTTTTGAGCATTGTCATATAACTTTATTACTTATTATCATCCAAAGAACATATGGAAAAAATTAACAAAAGTGAACAACTCCTTCTGGTGTTAGCCCTCTGCTCCAGGATTACTTTTGTTAGTGGTTTCCGTGTTGGACCTAAAACAAATCTTTACCAAATTTTGCACTTTTGGGGATTTTCAGTTGTATTCTAATTTAGTTTTACCATGAAGGCAAGCACAGGTAGAAAAATGTAGAAAAATAACTGGAATTCATTATAATACCAATTTAGATAAAAATAAATTAAATTCTTTCCAAATATAAAATTTCTCGCTTTTTCACTTGAAAAATCTTGTCACCGTGACAGCTACAACACAACTGTTACAAATGGATTAATTTTATTCTCCTCAATGGTTAAATAAGGCAAGTTTTTGTAAAATTAAGACGTATTTAATGTTAGGTTAGGTTGCCAAAGGTTTGATATTTTTTTTCCAAGTGGATATTTTGCCACAACTAGCTAAGTACCTACCAATGCTATTTTACCGTGAGTGTGCTTTGATTGGCTAAGTACTTTCTGTCCCTTGGCTAGGAAGTTAGGTAACGTTAGGTAGGTTTCTTTGGTTGGTTAGGTCAGGTTCTATTAGGTTCCACTAAATGTAGCCTCTTTTATAAAGACAAGCTTCATTGCACAACAGAAATATGGTTAATAGAAATGTTAACAGCTACACAACGATCCACTCACGGCAAAATAAATACCAAATGCCGCCACAGACATGGTCAAATATAGTTCTCATGTTGTTCGCCGGTAATGAACGATTAGTCAATCAGAGCACACTCACGGTAAAATAGCGTTAGTAAGAACTTACCGGTCATGGCAAAATATCCATTACATTTTTTTTACCCAATATACTGTATGCCTAATCTTCAAAATCCTACCCAGTTTGTGCAATTGTCATTTCTTGTTGTTATATTAGGTTGGGTTAAGGTTGCTAGACTAAACAATAACCCATACTAATAATGACATACCCTGCACTGCAGTTACATGGTAAATCATATTGAAAAGTTAGAAGAAATACTGATGGCCTGTCAGTCTCCTGCTAGAGAAATATTTTCATGAACTGTCCAATATGTAAAATAAAGTTAACATTCAAATACTTTTTTATGGTTTCTTATCCAACCTACATGTATATATTGCAAGTAATCACCTCCTTTTCAATTCGGTATTTAACACTTGTGTCGCCGACTCCGTTTGTTGTGACGTGGACGACAGGGCCCCAGTGTTACCATGTCCTCAGAGCGAGAATATGCTAAGCTTGTTCTGAAAGTGTGCTAACATATCCTAAACTAAGCCAAAAGGAAAAATAAATTATGCTAACTATTTGCTAACTTGTCATTTCCATTTTGATGCATTTCTCTGATGCCTTTGAGTAATTATATTTACACAAAATATATTTGAAGTATTTTTGGGGAAGGTATATAATCAGAACTCAAAAGCAAGTAAAAAAATATATAGGCTACCTATATATTATTTGAATGTATAGCCTACAGGCTACAAGCATACATGTAGATATGAAAGAGAGCGAGAGAAATAAACACAAGTCATTGCCTTTCTTTTGCTTTATTTCACCATAATTTCTTTCTGTAATAGAAAAATCAGAATCAGACAGACGTTCAGATAGATAGACATAGATAGATGCCTATCAACTCCAATTTTTTCTCTGTATCTCTTATGTTTCCATTGTACACTCGGCAATAATATGCTTTACTATGCACTGCCAGTCTTTTTTCTTCTCAATTTCTATGTCCCTTACAGTGGAACAGTGAAACTTGGAATTTTGGGTCTACAGATAAGAAATATTCTACATTTATCCCAAACATAGCAGGATTATGTGGGAATTATGCTGAGAGCCATTATGCTAGAATTTATGACAGCCACTATCTGGGACCAAATTATGCTAAGAGCATAAAATTTTGCTAGATATGGTAACACTGCAATGCCCTTCAGAGCTGCCAGGCTGATTTTTTAGTATAGGTAATCCTACTTATACCCGTATTAATTTTTGTCAGTTTATGATAAAACATATTTATTTATGATATTTTTTTCTGATGCTCATTCTATTCGTAAATTATATAGTATTTTCTTAAAATATATAGAATATAGCATTACAAGCCTAAAGTTTCTGCAAATAAAACTTTATTGCCCGCATTTATCTTAATTACTTTAAAAAATAATTGGTGTATAAGTAATTTATACTTACACATGTATTTTTGTATAAACATATTAATTTGGAGTGTAACCAACATTTATTTTAGGTCTGTTCTCCTGTAAACAATGACGAGCCAAAGTTCCAAACAAGGCGACTGACGGGTTGAGGCACAGCGACGGCCACCACCTGGTAACAGCTGATGTCAGTGCAAGGAAGAGCAAAGGGCACGTTTAAAGAGTGAACGATGACTTTATATCGTGTATTACAAACAGGTTTTAGGAAAGGGAGTCGAAGGCCTTCAACACACCGATGTGTCTGGTCTCAGCAGACCACAACAGACCTTCCGACTGAAGTCGTTGATTACGATGACAAGAGCCAATATGAGGACATAATCGAGAAGAAAAGAAACAAATCCAGACTAAACACAAGGCACTTCCAAGAATTTCACAAACTGGTTCGTACAACAATGGTCTCATGGGGGAGACACGAATTACCCAAAAGTATATCAAATAAGGGTAAAATCTTAACGAATATCTGTTATACATACACAAAACATGTTTAATAATATTTTTAGTGTAATTTTGTAAAAATAATTTGTAAGATGAAATAATAAACAGAAAAACTTTCAGTATTGGCGAACGCTAAATTCCAAAGAGTTCGTGAACAAGGGAGATAACTCGGATCCATCGTGATGCACTTCGCCAACCTAACCTAACCTAACGAAAAGTAAATCCTACGGCTATGTTAAATACCCCAAAGTAACAGAAACATCGGTAATTATATCTCCATTTTGGATAGGTGACTCCTTGGAATTAAGCATTTCTCGCTGTTTATTATTTCATTATTTTGACTACATTTCAATGAAAACATTATCAATCAGGTTTTATTGATGTAAAACATATATTCGTTAAGATTTTACCCTGATTTAATATATTTTTGGGTACTTTTGGGTAATTCGTTGGACCGGTCTCATGGTGGTAATACTAGAGTTGAGTGGTCCATCCTTAACAGCTACCTGAAAAAATTTCTCCATAAACTATAAAATTGGTGTATATTTAGTAGGTGCCAACACCTCACTAAATATTGAGTAATATACCTGCTTAGGGAGAAAAGAAAAAAAAAGTATTCCCTAATGTTTGTCGGAAATTTATAGTTTAAAGTTGTTTTAACTTATTTTATAATATTCGGCCAATCAACTATTTTTCTGATAAAACTGCAATTGACGTAAAATAATCTCTCACAATGTCGGCACACCTCTTTCCACCTGTTCAGCCATATCTGGTTATTCTGGTACTGAAAAATCAAATCTTCGCTCCCAACGCACCCACGCATTGTTCATTGGCTAAAACAAAAAAACTTGCCCATTATAACTCTCCTATCGCTATAGAGAATAAGAAATTTCCACACCACCCCCCGCACATGCTCTGTAGACGCTTAAGAAGCCAACACAGAGGTAAAGAGCACAGCGTGATGGGTGGTCAGACCTCTGTGAGACATAAACAACATCTTCTCTTAGGGATTATGGGGAAACTTTCGTAGTGGCCCTCGACATCTCCAAAGCATTTGACAGGGTATGGCACAAGTCTTTGCTTTCTAAACTTCCCTCTTATAGTTTCTCTCCCCCACTTTGTTTTCTAATCACTAGCTTCCTTGAGAACTGATCCATGGCAGTTGTTGTCGAGAGATCGATCTCTCGCTCTTTCTTTACCAATAGTGGTGTCCCACAGGGTTCTCTTCTTTCACTTACTCACTTCCTTCTATTTATCAATCATTTACTTCACACTACAACTAATTCTATCCATTTTTACGCTGATGATTCTACTCTTCATTCTTCTTCACATTTTCCCCTTCCTCCTAACTCTCAAACTAGATCTGTTTCTTGAGCTGATATCATTACTTCTATCATTGAGGATGTGTGCAGTATCTCTGAATGGGGAGGTAGAAACTTGGTTAAATTCAATAGTAATAAAACTCAGTCTTTACCAATTACACTTTCTAAATTAGATGATCTCCCACCAATTACATTTCAGGATGCTATCATTCTGCCAAATTCTGAAATAGATATGCTAGGCCTCACCATTTCCTCTAATATATGTCATGGAAATCACACATCCTTAACATAGCTAAAGCTGCCTCCCGAAAGTTGGGAATGCTGTACAGTTGCCGTAGCTACTTCACTCCTGAGCAGTTGCTTCAAGTATATAAGAGATTCATTTGTCCTAACTTGGAGGACTGCTCTCATATCTGGGGTGGCTCTTCTTCTGTCCAACTGTTGGATAGGGTGGAATCAAAATTATTTTGTCTCATTAACTCTCCTCCTTTAGTTGACAATCTTTCTTCCCTTTCTCTTCGCCGCAATGTTGCCTCACTCTCTCTCTCTCTCTCTCTCTTTTACAGGTACTTCAACGGGCAATGTTTGGTGGATTTGGCATCCTGTGTACCGCCGGCAAGGCCGTGGGCTTGTAACACACGTCTTGCCCGCGGTGCCCACCATTTCTCTGTTGATATCGGTCACACGAGAATAGCCCGTTATAGTACCTCCTTCTTTCCTCACACAGCCAAACTGTGGAATGCTTTGCCTTCTTCTGTGTTTCCATGCCCTTACAATCTGTCTCACTTTAAAAAGCTGGTTTTCCGGCATCTTCGTGATGTAGATTAATACAGTATAACCTTTTTTTTCTATATTTTCAATTTCTTTCCGTTCTTTTTTTTCGCCCCCCAGGCTCCGTTGTAGGTCATTTGACCTGTGCCCGGGTTGGCTATTTCCCATAAAAAAAAAAAATAATAATAATAATAATAATAATAATAATTATTCAGATAAGTAAAAAAAACCTGCTTACCGTATCTACCTATTGGGCAAACTAAAATCGTTCCGGACCACTGGAGTTTCCGGACCACAGAATGCCGGACTAGAGAGTTACAACCTGTATTGACATTTTTAAGGCTTGTCATATCCTGTGAGGTGTGCAAAGTGCAGTTCACACTCGTTATCATTAAGATAAAATCCTTTGGTTTTGTACTAAATGACAGAAAGTTGCCAAGACTAAGAAATCTCTTGACTGTGATGTCTGGATTTAAGGCCAATTGGTTGGACATAATACCTACAAATAGCATCATTTTATCCACCAGCATTTGATAATTGAGGTTAGGGTGGTTTTTTTTTACTACACAATTCCCCTCTACAGGACTTCGAAACCCTGCCCACTTAGTGCAGTCAAAGTAGTAGGTAGTGGGGGGTGTCATATCTCCATAACGGCTCATTTCCAATGGAAATTAAGGTCAGATTCTATTAATACACCATGAAATACATTAGAAAACTTATTGTTGCTAGTAGTTGCCATGGTAGACCTTTTCTGAATCTTTACCATTTTAAGTTATTTATTTTTTCTCATCCCTTAAATAAAAAATTACCCATTAGTAGCAAGGCATGAAAGAAGGGGGAATTATGCAATAAAAACACACTGAACACTGATCACATGGCAGTAATTTCAAGTCTCTGGGTGCTTTGTAGGCAAGTAAATAATTTATTTACCTTAAATATGGCAATATCAAATATCCAGTTGCTACCATGGCTCTGGTTCATTGTTAAGATAAGGAAGTGAAACTGGTAATTGTGAACATGTTAAAGAAATGATGGAGGATCTCATTGGGGTTTTGTAATACAGTACTGCAATTAATTGCTTACTTGTCATTTGTTACTTATTTTTAGTTTCCTGATTTCCAACTATGGCTGTGCTAATCCTTTATGTTTTGTCTTTACTGTGCAATAAGTTCCAAAACCACTTCTAAATATTCAAGATCAGCATCATATGGTTGAGATTGAAATCCATTATAGGGGTTTGGATATCTTGCATTTGAAATTTGGACTTGCATTGAATTCAAAGTCATCTCAAAATAGATGTGAAACATGGGCAGTTAAAGAGAATGGCATAAGTAGGCTTGATTGAGCTGAAATGAGAATGTTGAGGTGGTTTTGTAATGTGACACTGAAAGATATTAGGACCTGTTCAGAACTAAGAGGGTGTCAAGTATTGAGAGTACAGTATTGGCAAAGTTATGTGTACAGGTAGGTTAAGATGGTTTGGGTATGTAGAGAGAATGGATGAGACTAATTAGGTCTAGAGGTGCAGGAGCCTAAGTGTGGAGGGAATGAGAGCCATGGGCAGGCCAAGAATAATGTGGGGAGATGTCATTAGAGATACTGTAGTAACCTGACGAGAGAATTGGCATGAGACCGTGCACGTGCAGCATGGAGAGCTGCCATTAGTTAATCTTGGTTAATTTACACAAGCATGAAAAATTTTAATTGTTGTTCATACCTATAATGTATTTTATTATATATGTGATGAATTCCCAATAAAATTAATCAATCAGTCTAATTATAATAAATTGTTCTACTTATTTTTTGCAGTCTAGACAGTTAACAGAAGATGAGGAGCAGGCATTTAGATTGTCGTACCAACGTAAACTGTATGGACTACACGGTGCTGCTAGTGGGATCAATCCTGCTAAATTATGGCCAAGTATGGAGGAAATGAATTGGAATAAAGAATATGAAAGAGTTAGTTGTCCAAATTCTATACATGAAATGATTAATAAGGCAATAAAATTGAAGGAGGAGGAACAGCGGATGCTGAAACAAAGGTAAGGAGTAATCTTTGCAGTCAGTAGTTAAATGTCTATCCCGTAGTTACAGGTATACCGGGTAAACAAATTTATCTTGTCACTTCTTCATTCTTAATTTTCATGTTTTGGTAAGGTATTACAACATTTAAAGTAGCAAAGTTTACGTATTTTAGTTTTTAATATATTTTTTCTTAAAAAGTAACTAAGGGAGATGCATATGACAGCAGTGACAAAGTCACAGTAACTCCTCGCTTAACGTGTATTCACCGTGCAGATAGTTTGTGGAAGTTGTGTAATGTACAGTACAGTATAGAGCAAAAATTCATATAGCTAAAGCGAATTTCTTATTGACAAAGTGTTATGAATATTAGATGCATTCTTGGAGACTGATTAATTATCAAACATCTTATGCAACCAAACTAAACACTGTATGTACAGATGTCATTATAACTCAGTAAGTCCATACAGAACATTACCAAAAGGTTTGTGAATGGTTTACATTCCAAAAAGACACTCACAAGTTGTTCATTTGAAACTCTGAACTAAATTTCTCAAAGATACAGTAAAACCCCTATAATTCAAAATAATAGGAGCTCTAGCCATTACGAATTATAAGATTTTACAAATTATAGGGGATACCTTCAGAGGGAAGACCAAACAAAACTGTACTTTTCCATTATCTGCCCCAATCAAAATTTAAACAGACATAAGGGCACGCACAAAGACTGGGCAGTAGTGGAAAAACCTAGCACGGTCGATCATAGATGTACACTCCACAACTGACCCACGTGAACTGACCATCACGTGTATACAGTGGTCCCTCGGTTAACGAACACAATTCGTTCCAGAAGGTTGTTCGTTAACTGAAACCATTGTTTCAATGGGATTTTGGGTAATTGGTTCCAGCTCACCGAAAATTACATACAAAGTAAAAATAAATGCAGCAAAGTACACTTACTTTGAGGTGTGTATGGAGAAGGCTCCTGGTTGATGATGATGATGATGATGATGGGAATTAGAAGTGGGGGGGGGGACGAGAAGGAAGTGGGGGTGGAAGAGAAATCACCTCATGCTTCATGCCGTCATTTCACCCATAAAATTTTAAGTTCACTCGGTGTAATTCAAGATTATTTTCTTTAAATCAACACTGCACTGCACTATATATTGTCAATTTGTAAAATAAATTTCAGAATGACCAATAATTGTACAGTGGCCCCTCGGTTAACGAACTCAATCCGTTCCAGAAGGTTGTTCGTTAACCGAAACGTTCGTTAACCGAAACCATTGTTTCAATGGGTTTTTGGGTAATTGGTTCCAGCTCACCGAAAATTTCCTAAATTCAACAAAAATGGTAGAAAAGTTCACTTACTTTGAGGTGTGTATGTAGAAGGCTCCTGGATGATGATGATGATGATGGGATTTAGAATGGGGGTGGAGGAGAAGGAAGAAGAGAAGGCATTGGGGTGGAAGAGAAGTCACCCCATGGTGCCATTTCACCCATAAAATTTTAGCTCTCTGGTTTAATTCAAGATTATTTTCTTTAAATCAATGCTGCACTGCATTATATATTGTCAATATATAAAATATATTTCAAAATGACCAATAATTTGCTTGGAAACACAGAAAAAAAGCATTTAGTTGAAGAGAGTCTCAAGCAAGATGTTACCTCCAGTGAAAACAGAGAGAGACTGACGCCTGTTTGCTGTGTTAAGAGGCTGGATGCCGCGCATTAAACTAGTCACTTTACCTTCAATTTCGTTCAATAATTGTTAAAATGACTAAAAAATTGAATATTAAACTTTTAAAATTATTGAATAGTATAAACTTCTTGATATTTACAAAAATAGTAAGGAATTTAAGCCCTAGAACCGATTAATGTATTGGCGGACTGATACTAAAGCTGGTTGCCCGGTCAGTGCAAGCGAAAACATGTTGAGGTCGGTTCGTAAGAAGTTCGTTAAGCGAATTTTTTTTCGTTAACCGAATTGAAGATCCTTATGGAAGGCAGTTCGTTAATCGAAATTACGTTAACCGAGGTGTTCGTTAAACGAGGGGTCACTGTACTGTAAAAACATAAAAATGGTTCATGTTCAAGAGAGCCACAAGCAAGATGTTACCTCCACTGACAAGAGATACAAACTGACGCCTTGCTGGGTGAGTCAAATGGCTGATTGGCGCACCAAAAACTAGTTTCCTGTACTGCAATTATGTTAAATAAGTGTTAAAATGACTAAAAATTTTAATATAAAACTTGGAAAATTATTTAATTGTACAACCTTTTTTATATTTACTCAAATGGGAACGAATTTAAGCCCTAGAACCGATTACTGTATTGGAGGAGTAATATTCCAGCTGGTGAGCAAGCGAAAACATGTTGACATGATTTCGTAAAAATTTCGTTAACCGAATTTTTGTTCGTTAACCGAATTGAAGATTCTTATGGAAGGTAATTTGTTAACCAAAATTTCGTTAACCGAGGGATCACTGTACAGTGAAACCTCCAAAATTCGAACCACAAAATTCGGATACATCTAAAATTCGAATAGCATCTGATTAAAAATTAAGTGCCAAAATTTTAGATTCCGAATTTGAAAATATCGCCACAATAATTCAAGCTTTCAAATGCAATCATAATTCTGAGCACAACAAGTGCATCCGGGTTTCAAGACATGAAGGTGGATGGAGACAGAGTGTTGTACAGTACAGTATTTGGAGACTGGCAGGATTACATGGAGACCACTGTAGCTATAATGTTCTAAATATATTAGAATAAATGTTGTTGATTTGAATATAAATACTGTATAGTGATACTGTACTTTTATTTTATTATACCTATTGCTTATTGACAGTTTTAGATATGTAAATAATTTTTGTAGCATGTTTTTATACAAGAATTTTCTCTGGCGCTTCCATACATCTAAAATTCGTATACTTGATGGGTCCATGCAATTCAAATTTTCGAGGTTGCACTGTACTTGTTTACATTGAGGTGAGCGTAGGGTAATAATGTACTGCACACATTACTGCTTGCATAATACTTTTTGGACAGCATAATTTGTCTAATGGTAGACCCTGCTGCCATATGGCATCACAGAAATTGTGACCAAGTCCCGGGGTGCTTCTCTGACTTTCTGCCTCCACACAATTGCAGGGTCTCAATTGTTTCTCTTACTTTGACAACACAACATATGCTGTACATAGTATATCATTTCTCACTTCATATTTTTTTTAATAGTTTTATTATTATTTTAATTTTAATATTTATAGTTTTTATATATTTTGATTAGTATTATATTAATATTTTCTTATAATTGTTATTTTTTTATATTTTTAAGCAATTTTATTATTATTATTTTCATAATTATTTTTGTTTTATAAAATTTTCGCTCCCCAGGCCTTGATGTGAGTCATTAAAAATGACCTGTGCCCGGGTGGGTTAATGCCCGTAAAAAAATTGAAAAGAAAAAAGTCTGTCTTTTTTTTTTCATTTCAGGCTTTACTTTCACCCATATCAAGATATAGACTAATAAGCATTGTAGTCAACAGGAGGTTAAGGAATTCACTTCAAAGTACAGTACAATATGCTTAATGCGCAAGTTGAAGATACAAGGTACACTAGTGATGTACCCGGTACCCCTTTATTCCCACTTGCTTATTTATTTATACTTTATCTCTCTCTCTTTCTCTCTCTTGAGGTCATTTCCCTCTAATCATCCCTCAGAAATTTGGGAGAAAAAGAAATCAAATAGCAAGGTTGTTAATGTATAGTACTCTCCTGGTTTAAAGTGTTTTATGAATGGACAGCTCAGCAATTTTCTTTGATAATTATTGGATGTATGTTGCAGGCAAGAGGACTTGGTGCACAAGGTGGCCAAATTGGAAGGATGGAAGAAGGAAGTCCGTCAGCGTATTGAGAAACAAGAGAAGGAGGCACAAGAAGCTAAGGTGGGTTTTCTTTTTGCATCTCTATAAAAACAAAGTTATTCACATAATTTTTTCCCACCTTTTTAACAAGAAAGCAGTATTTGTAGTACTGTACTAAAGTACAGTACAGGTGCTCCTCTACTTAACGTTAAACTTACAAGCTTTCAGAGATACAAACATCATCACTGAGGGGGGTTACTTGCCAGAACAGGTGTTTAATGTGGATGAGACTGGATTATTTTAAAGAAAATTCCATTTAGAACAAACATTGCCTAAGAGGAAGAGAGTGAGCTAGGTTTTAAGGCTGTATTAATGGTATAGCTGTACTAAATATCCATAATCTTTTCATTTTTTACATTATGTTTGGTATATACAAGAATAAAGTTGGACTTACAAACAAGCCTCAGGAACTTAACTCGTTCGTAAGTAGAGGAGCACCTGTATACAATAGCTTTTTACCCATTTAGTCACATGCATATACCATTTGGAAATTACATTATAGAAAAGGGAAAGTTGAAAGCTTGTAGCAAACTTGGCTAAGGCCATCAGGCAAGAGGGAACCAGCAGAAAATACTATACAGTAATTAATAACCCTTTCCTTGCCTGAGGTTAAGAAAAATAATCCTCTCATTTTGTGGCACGTTTCATAACATTAGGCTTATGTCAGTGAGAGGTTTTGGAAAGGAGTACAGTGGGGTCTGCATTTACGCGGTCAATTGAACCTGTGGAGGCCCTCGTAAAATGAGAAACACTTAAATGAAATAACAGAACATATGGGATTAATTCAAAAATATAGACTGGGCCGACCCCCAAACTCCACTTTTTCCGACACAATACCTACGTTGTAGTAAAAATAACATCTTAATTTCATGATGGTATGCACACACAATTAATATTTAAGAGAAATACAGTCGCCCGGTTAATGTCCATTCAAATAATGGACTCAACTCCCCCCCTCTTCCCACGCTCGCTGGCTCCTCCCTCTCTGAGAAATGTTTGGGTGAAAAAACTAGATTTTAAGGTATAGTTATAAATAATACCTCAGACTAAAGTTAGGATAATATAATTGACATTGCTGGATTCCTTGCAGGACAGGAAATATTTTGAATGTAAACTTCATATATTTTGCACAAAAATAAAATGTTTGCTAATTTTCATCATCTCCTTACATTACATCTAAAATTTGTATGTCTAATGCAAATGTTAAGATGTTTATATTTAAAATTATCATCATCTTGTAAGGATTCCAGCAATGTAAATTATATATTTTATGAGCCAAAAACATGTATATCTTCAGTAAATAAACAAATTATACTTCACCCGCGTAAATGATGAAATTTACCACGTAATTAAAACATTTCATTCTGGCAAGGTGCCGCGTAAATGACCCAACGCGTAAACAAAATCGCGTAAATCCAGACTCAACTGTAAATTCTCTCTGAATTTCCTTAGTAGATAAAGCACAGGTCTCAGTTCCTCTGAAGCATCTACTACTGAAATTGCATGAGTGAAACCTGAGTTTGTTGTATCAAATTATGTACTAATGAGGTGTGAAGTGTTACTGTAATTTCTACAACCATGATTCACCCACTCTCCCATGCTGGGCTGGGCTTAGCTTATCATCATAAGAACTTGAGTCACCTCTTTGTTCGCCATGTACTGTTTCAAGTACATTTTCCTGCATATTATGCACACACTAATCATCATCACTGTCCCTCCTAAATTATCAGAATCAATTGTATCCAAAATATCAACCCAAATTCTCCATTTTGGGCAGTTGTTGTACACTTCTATGTGACACCTTGATGGACACTACAGTACAGTGACCCCTCAGTTAACGAACTCAATCCGTTCCATAAGGTCGTTCGTTAACCGAAACCATTGTTTCAATGGGTTTTTGGGTAATTGGTTCCAGCTCACCGAAAATTTCCTAAATTCAACAAAAATGGTAGAAAAGTTAACTTACTTTGAGGTGTGTATGTAGAAGGCTCCTGGATGATGATGATGATGGGAATTAGAATGGGGGTGGAGGAGAAGGAAGAAGAAAAGGCATTGGGGTGGAAGAGAAGTCACCCCATGGCACCAATTCATCCATAAAATTTTAGTTCTCTTGGTGTATTTCAAGATTATTTTCTTTAAATCAACACTGCACTGCATTATATACATTCACGGAAATGTAATATTTTTGCAACTACAATGCTGATGTCAACACAAGCGTGGTTACAGCGAGACTGACTGACTGAGGGAACGTGGGGTGGCGTGGGCGATGTGTGTGTGTGTGGTGTGCAGTGTGTGGTATCGCGCGCGATTTGAATAATGTATATTCCTCCAGCGGCAATCCGCATATTTGCAAATCCGTGTAAGTTAAATCCACGTATGTTAAGGGCCGACTGTACATACCGAGACCATATCCATGCTAGTGGTGGCTCAATGCTCAAGATGGCCATGGTTGGTGGGCATTGGCCAGCAGTGATGCCTTGAAAACGTATGATACTACCCACCCACCTTAACCCCGAGGTTTTGAGTCATGTACTATCACGTGTCTGTAGAACTTCGGGTCACGTCACATGACATTTTAATCTTCCCCGGGCCTATTTGAATAAAAAGGGTGGGCCTGGATAGATTATGTTGCCAAGTAGGTATTTGTCTTTCACTAATCACATGAGTGTCTCCAATTCTCTTCTCAGTAGCTTCTCAGTTTTGTGTTGTATGTATCTTGCCCTTGGATTTGACTCCTTTCACTGTGTGTTTCTACCCCCGCAACCCCCAAGCACAAATCTAGTACAGTATACAATATTTGATAATTTGGGTTAAATTTTCCAAGGTCCATCACATATATCTTGTAAGTCACTCTTTACTTTGCAAAATTCACTTGTTTGTATGAACTAGAGAGGTTCTATTGTACTACAGGTACACCACTGATTATCCGGGTACTGATGGTCAGGCACCTCCTTTAGTCCAAACAAAATTATGAGGGGGGGGGGGGCACTAACTTCCCTCCCTAGGAGCCTGGGTCCTGGGTGAAGGTAGGTTTAAGCTTAGAGTTTTTATCTTATAAAATATAGCTGACTAGACTTAGCAGAATATAAATTACATTGCTGGAATCCTTGTAATATAGTGATTAATTTGAATATAAACATCACATCACTAGTTAAATTTAAGTTTCTAGTAATCCATGGTGCTTTAGAGACACAGGAGGTGTATAATTAGTGGGTCAGAGGTGTATTGTTGAATTATTATTACCTGACCTCGGACCAAAGGTTGGTCCGGCAAGGCTTTGGAACCAAGGGTGCCGGAAAATCGGTGGTGTACCTGTATATATTGCATCATTACCGAAAGCAAACACAGTGTTTCTTTGTTGTTATCCAGTCACCCTTATAGCTGTAATATCCCTATATTGTACTGTACTGTAATCACTGGATACAGTACTCTGCTCTGCTCAAATTCACATTTGCCAATGGTTCCTGAATGTTGTCCATCCTACTCATGTCTAGTGTGTCCAACTCCCACAACTTTCAGTCTTCTCTTGGTCATCTCTTCTCCTACTTACATTTACTTTGGATATCTTTACAGGGAAAGAAGGAACGCCTTATTGAAGAGGTACGTCAGATCCTTGGTTATCGCATTGATCCAAGGGATGAGCGCTTCAAGGAGGCTCTGTTACAAAAAGAACAAGCAGAAAGGAAAGCATCCAAAGCTGCTAAAAAGTTAGAACGACAGCAACGTATGATTGAGAAATTGAAGAAAGCTGCCAGTAATGAGACAGATGCTAAAACAACCCATGAAAACAAACCATCAGAGGATTCTTTGTGATTTTAGATGAAATAGACCACTGAACACTGCTAAACTTTCGTGAATCCTGCTAAAATCACACACCCTAGCGATTTTTTTTTTTTGCCAGTGTAAATGGAGCATGTAAAGGCCTGCATGCTGCTTCATTTTCATCAATTCAAAGCATTGAGAATAGTAAATCACACTGTGAAATTTATTCTACTTGGTGAGTGGAATATTTTGGTATTGTATATATTCCTTAAAGTTAAATAATTTTTGTGTTCCTCATAACTACAGTTTTACTCCATCCCCCATACACATCTTTGGTGCTTAGTCAAACTGACCAAGAATAAACCTTTGATAACTGTTATCACTCAGTGGTTCCAGTTTTCTGAAAGCACAGAAATAGTGGCATATGGAAAAAAGGTACTTGTACATATTGGGAGGTTCTACATTTACAGCATACAAATAATAACACTTAAGTGAAAAAAACATGGTTCTAAACCATCTGTTAAGGTGGCATCCCAAAAATGAATATTACATGCAATAAATCAGTAACAACAAAGGTTATGTTACTTGTCCTGGTTACTCTGTACAGTTGTAATTGAGTAGTCATTATAATAACTACAGTGTAAAAGGCACATTAGTGCTTGAAAACACTTAAGTGGCAGGGAACTTCTTCAAACACAGCTGAGTGTTTGTGTTTTATTTGTGGTAACACTTTTCCACAAATACTTTTATCGAACTGAAAGTAAGGAAATTAACACAGCTTCAAAAGCTTTTTGCTTGAAGTGCAATGTAAATTTTCATATGTATGTACCGTACATCCTACATACCGTATATCGCGGCCTATAAGGCGTCGGGGTGCATAAGACGCCCCCCCCCCAAATTTCCATTTAAAAAGTAGCTTTTGAGCTCTATTTGCTGTATAAGACCAGTACCCCAAATGTGACACTTACCCACTGACTCAGTAGTCCTTTACCAACCATCCTTGGTTTTTTAAAATAAGGCCAATTCACTTCAAGTAATGTCATCAAATATTACCTGCTGGTGTAGTGTAAACACTAGTGACGTCACTGAAGCGTCTGCTATTTACCGGTAACTGGAACTAATGTCGGTGTCGAGTAAAATTTTTCCATTTACTTGAAATGGATTTACCGATTTATTTGTTTATTTATTTATTTATAATATACTGTAACATATTAAACACACTGCAAGTATTTTCTTTCATTTATACGCTTGCTTCGCACGAGACGATCGGTGGTGGGAGTGTTCCCTCGTCTCGGTGGTGTGACTGTGTTCCGACTATTTATACAACAGGTGGTTCAACAGCAACCACCGTATTCTAATTGTGGTGTTTCATTAGGATTTGAGTGAAAAAGGTTACCGGTATGTACTTACTACATACATTTATTACACAAACATATATATATATATATATATATATATATATATATATATATATATATATATATATACAGTCAACCCTCACTTTACGCGGTCCCACATTCCGCGTTTCCACGTTTACGCGGTGCCCTGCCAGAACCCAGGATGCTCACATTCCGCGGTGGGTGTACCCCTTTACACGGTGAAGTATAATTTTTTTTAATTTAGCTCATAAAATTCATACAAATTATCCGGCCAGAATATAATTTACATTGCTGGAATTCTTACAATTTGATGATCATTTTGAATATAAACATCATAGATTTTGCATTAGACATACAAATTTTAGATATAATGTTTACTCTTGAGTAAATATGTTATCTTTTGTGCAAAATATATGATATTTATATTCAAAATATTCCTGGTCTTACAAGGAATCCAGCAATGTCAATTATATTATCCTAACTTTAGTCTGATTTATTATTTATTACTAAAAAGGTAAACAGTCTGGTATTCCCACACATTTATCTAGTAGGGACGTTGGTGGGGGGAGGGAGGGAGGGACCGGCGACCAACCATCTGTTACCGTGTGAAGAATTTTTTTTTTTTATTAACTGAAGATTTTTATTTTAGCTCATAAAATTCATACAAATTACCCGGCCAGAATATAATTTACATTGCTGGAATTCTTACAATTTGGTGATCATTTTGAATATAAACATCATATATTTTGCATTAGACATAAAATTTTTAGATAAAATGTTTAATCTGAGTAAGTATGTTATCTTTTGTGCAAAATATATGACGTTTATATTCAAAATATTCCTGGTCTTACAAGGAATCCAGCAATGTCAATTATATTATCCTAACTTTAATCTGAGGTATTATTTAATACAAAATGTTAAAATCTAAATTTTTCACCCAACATCTCTTGAAGGGAGGATTGGTGGGGGGTGGGGGGGAGGGTTGGGACTGACCGCGCGGTTGGAAGAGGGGGGGAGGCAAGGTGGGGTACTTTGATTGACAGATAGTGTCGTGAAGAATATTTTTTTTTTTTATTAACTGAAGATATTTGTTTTAGCTCATAAAATTCATACAAATTACCCGGCCAGAATATAATTTACATTGCTGGAATTCTTACAATTTGATGATCATTTTGAATATAAACATCATAGATTTTGCATTAGACATACAAATTTTAGATGTAATGTTTAATCTGAGTAAATATGTTATCTTTTGTGAAAAATATATGACATTTATATTCAAAATATTCCTGGTCTTACAAGGAATCCAGCAATGTCAATTATATTATCCTAACTTTAGTTTGAGGTATTATTTATTACTATACCTGGTTTTCCCCCCAAAATTTCTCAGAGGGAAGAGCCGGCAGTGTAGTGTGAGAAGAGGGGGAAGGAGTCGTGTCCATTATTTGAATGGACATTAACTTGGCGACTGTATTTCTCTATTTCTCTTAAGTATTAATTGTGTGCATGTACCATCATAAAATTAAGATGTTATTTTTACTACAACATAGTTATGTGTCGTCAAAAAGTGGAGTTTGGGGATCGGCCTGGACTCCATTTCAATTTATCCCATATGTTATGTTATTCACTTAACGCGTTTCTCGCTTTCCGCGGTACCCTCTGGGTTACATTAACCGCGTAAAGTGAGGGTTAACTGTATATATATATATATATATATATATATATATATATATATATATATATATATATATATATATATATATATATATATATATATATGTGTGTGTACTGAATATACTATGTACAATAAATGAATGTTCAATGAATTATTTATGGTGCATTAGGGTACTGGCCACTTCAGACACAAAGACGGGCTATAAATAGCCTTGTTATCTACCCCTACATCTCACCCTGAGCCAGAGGGAAGCGTCTTGGTAAATAACATTTGTTTGCTTATTTTCCATTTACTTGAAATAGATTTACCGAATTATTTGTTTATTTATTTATTTATAATATACTGTAATATATTAAACACACTGTAATTATTTTCTTTAATTTATAAACTTGTTTTGCGACAAAGGAATGTTCTCCAGTAGTGTTTCATTAGGATTTGAGTGAAAAAACATTACGTACTTACTACATACATTTATTACACAAACATATTTATATATACTGTATGTATACATATATACGCATGCACACATTTAATTTACTAAGTCACAATATTTTAAAAGCAAATTACCCGACAAGTTAAAAATGTTATTAGCACATGATTATTACTGACATCATCATGTATTAAAAACCTTCAAAATCCACATCATCAACATCTGACATCATAAGTTCTTCAAGTACATCCTGAGATACATTTATGGCTGCTTCATCATAAGGATCAAACTCCAAATCAGATGACGTGGCTTCGGCTTCTGTTTCATCCTCGTCCTCCCACAACATATCATCCTCCATACCATCCATTGAATTAGATATTCCGCACTTTTTAAAAGACTTGATAACTGTTTCCACATTAATATCATTCCATGCCTTGATAACAAAATCACACAGTACATCCAGTTCGGGAGCTCGCATATTCCCACCTTTCGTGTAAGACTTTTTGCCGCTGATCATCCACTTGTTCCATTGTTCACGAACGCGGTCCTTGAATGGTTTGTTTAGACAAACATCAAGTGGTTGAACAACTGAAGTTAATCCACCAGGAATAACTGCAATGTCACTGTTGTTCCTCGCCATGCTGGTTTTTGTTCCCTCTGTTAAATGACTCGCGAACATATCCCATACTAAGAGGCTACGCTGTTTTCGAAAGCCACCAGGTCGCCTACACCATATATGATCAATCCATAACTTTATTCCTTGTTCTTCCATCCACCCTTTCTCGTTGACGTGAACAAAAACTCCAGCCGGGAACTTGATTCTGGGCATTGTTTTCCTCTTGAGAATTAGCATTGGGTTCAACTTGGTTCCGTCTGCCATGCATGAAAGTACTACTGTAAACCGTGTCTTTTCGTGTCCTGTTGTTTTCACTAACACTGTTTTTGCACCCTTTGTATCAACAGTATGATTACCGACCATGTCGAAGTTCATAGGTGTTTCATCCATGTTCCCGATGTTGCTTAATGGATAACAATGTTTCTTACGTTGTTGTATTATGTAGCGATGGAAATTAACAATTTTACAGTTAAGATCTGCTGGTAATTTTTGTGCTATTTTTGTCTTCTGCCTCAGTACCAGATTGCTTCTTTCCATAAAATGGCTACACCATGAAGCTGTGGCTTTGAAGTCTTTGCTGTGCTCTTGATTTTGTTTAGCCCACTTAAGTGCCCACATACGTATCATGTTTCTTGATACAATATACCCATTTTGACGCTGCTCATGGACCATGTCTACTGCGTGCTTCTCTAGAATCGGCCAGTGTGCAGTGCCTCTTCTCATTGCACATTTATTCCTGGGCATACTTCGTAGTAAGTGTTCCTTTGATCTCCAATCCTGCACCATCTTCTCAGTTACACCGTATTCTCTTGAAGCAGCACAATTGTTGTGTGACTGGGCATATGCTATCACTTACAGCTTAAAACAAGCTTCATATCTCCTGCGTTTAACAATTGGAGCCATGGTGAGGTTTTATGGTAGCTGGATACAGTATTAATATACCCTAGTGTTCACACGGAGAGAGTGCTATTGCTTATGGAGTGATAACTCAACAACTGGACAAGGCAAATGAGAGAAGGGGTATCACGTTTGGGGATAGATAACATGACCTGGTCACCTTACACATATATGGTAATCATTAAGAATCAATCTCCGAATCAGATGACCTGACTTCTTCTTCATCATTGTCATCCTAAATTTACCACTGTCGGTAGTTAAAAGAATTAAAAGTCATTTACTGAATATTCTATGTAAAAAAATAAATTTTAAATTAATTATTTATAGGAGAAAAGTATTATGATCAATAAATATATGGTATTACTGGCCACTTCAGACACAAAGACGGGATAAAAATAGCCCATCTCCCCCTCTTACAGCTGCCAATGGGAAGCGTCTTGGTAATTAAATTTGATGTTTATTTTCAGTTTGTCTAATTTATCATGTATCAAATTAATATTACTAAAATTGTGTAGGTAGTAGGCAGCTACCAAACCGGGAGGTACTACTGCCTGGGAAGATATTGGAAGCATAATGTGTTGTCTAATGGTAGACCCTGCTGCTATATGGCATAACGAAAATTGTGACCAAGTCCCAGGTTGCTGACCTGACTTTCTGCCTCATTTACACACAATTGCAGTTTCAATTGTTCCTCTTACTTTGACAACACAACATACATACAGTATATTATTTCTCACTTTTGATCTTTTTTTTAAATTTTTGTATTTATTTATAGTTAGTTACTTAAAATTAGGCCAATTCACTTCAAGTAATGGCATCAAATGTTACCGGCTGGTGTAGTGTAAACACTAGTGACGTCACTTAAGCGTCTGTAATTAACTGTCGATAGTTTCAAGAATTAACGCACTCATTTACTGAATATTCTTTGTAAAAAAATAAATTTTAAATCAATTATTTATTGGAGATAAATATTATTATCAGTAAATATACCGATACCCGGTATGCATTACTGATCACCTTGTAGGGTTTCGTGGTATAATGTTGTCTAGCACTCAGGATGGATGGAAACTCTAAGGTGGTTTTCTTGTATAATATAAGTTATATGATAGACAGTCTGGTGCTGGAGGTGCCGTGTGTTGAGGAGCTGCTCAGTAGAGACGTTCGGTGAGTAGCGTGTTGAAGGAGGTAGATGTGCAGGAGCTTCGTTAGAGAAGATGTTGCCTGTTGCTGGCCTCCTGGTTGAATGAAAGCTGGACAGCGAGGAGCTTGCTGGAGGTGGTGTTGCGTGTTCAGGAACCGAGAGCAGAATGAGAGCTGGTTGGTGAGGAAGCTCAGAGAAGGACAGCTGGTGGGTCGCCATGCTCGCTGGCGGGAGCGAGGACCGCCAGGCAGGCGAGGAGAAGCGAGGGCCGCCAGGCAGCGGCGGAGGAGAAGGTGTTGCGTGTTGTAGAAGTGAGGCCAGAATAAATTTCAATGGAGAGACAGAGCTTATATACCCAGCAGCCGTGAGTCAAGCGTGAGTCACGTTGGGAAAACCCGAGAAAGTCGCCGGTCTTTGGCTCCGTTGCTAGGATACTGCGGCATCTGGTGACGGCGCCGCCTGGGCCGCTAGTTTGGTTGCTAGGGCAGACGTCGCAGGTGGCCTGCAGCTACGCAGTTGTAGGCAGTTGTAGGGGAGACGTCCACTACAACCTCAACGGCTAAAAATAGCCCAATCTCGCGGTCACTTTCCCTTTCTTGTCTCCTCACTGGCAAATGGGGGGGGGGGAAGGGGTGTGTGATGATAGCAGCTGTGTTTATTACAGGGTATGTTAGACAGGTTTATAATACATTTTTATTATTTTAATATACCGGTAATCTTAATTTGAATCCAGCTTGCCAAACGTAAGTTTCAGTATAAAATAATTACTGGTAGGACTTTGTGAGTGGCTTACGATGTTTCCATCACCACTCTTGACACAGTAAACCACAATATTTAAGATGTAAGAATTTTATATTTGTTGCTTAAGACGACCCCCTAACTTTGGGCAGATTTTTTTAATGTTCAAATTTCGTCTTATAAGCCGAGATATATGGTAACTTCTTTCTATTCATCAATTGCTTCCAGTCTTCAAGACAAAACCACCTGGTAGTAAAATGGCCATAAAATGTTAATGATGGTGAACTATTGAGACACACAATAACACACGATTGGAATAACAATAATTCCTTCATTAGCTTAATTCTTGATACCCCTTAGTACAAGCCCATTCAACAAAAATAATAAAGTTCAAAGTACTTCGTGTAACAATATTGGTTCATACCGATTGTAAAACAAGTCTTGTAATTTCTGTTTTATAGTTACAGTATGTTGAAGTAAGTTATGAAATAAGTCCTAGTACCTGTACTGTATTTATCAAAATTAACAATTTTGTCTGTGTTGGCTACTTATGTACACGTAAGACCTACATTATTAGGTATTACTGAAGTCAAGGATGATAAAAAAATAATATAAATTGCTTATTGCATTTTTTATCCATCTGTACTTCATTAATAGCTTACACAAGAATATTTTATTTTTGCTTATTGATTCATAAGACTTCTTTACATAATTTAATTCTATACAGTCAACCCTCACTTTACGCGGTTAATGTAACCCACAGGGTACCGCTGAAAGTGAATAACATAACATATGGGATTAAATGAAATAGAGACCAGCTGACCCCCAAACTCCACTTTTTCCAACACAATACCTATGTTCTAGTAAAAATAACATCTTAATTTTATGATGGTACATGCACACAATTAATACTTAAGAGAAATAGAGAAATACAGTCTCCAAGTTAATGTCCATTCAAATAATGGTCTCAACTCCCTCCCCCTCTTCTCACACTACACTCACTGGCTCTTCCCTCTCTGAGAAATTTTTTGGGGAAAACCAGGTATAGTAATAAATAATACCTCAAACTAAAGTTAGGATAATATAATTGACATTGCTGGATTCCTTGTAAGACAAGGAATATTTTGAATACAAATGTCATATATTTTGCACAAAAGATAACATATTTACTCAGAGTAAACATTATATCTAAAATTTGTATGTCTAATGCAAAATCTATGATGTTTATATTCAAAATGATCATCAAATTGTAAGAATTCCAGCAATGTAAATTATATTCTGGCCGGGTAATTTGTATGAATTTTATGAGCTAAAACAAATATCTTCAGTTAATAAAAAAAAAAATATTCTTCACTACACTATCTGTCAATCAAAGTATCCCACCTTGCCTCCCCCCCTCTTCCAACCTGCCAGATGGTCCTTCCATCCCAACCCTCCCCCCCCACCCCCCTCCCTTCTAGAGAAAGGTTGGGTGAAAAAACTAGATTTTAACATTTAGTATTAAATAATACCTCAGATTAAAGTTAGGATAATATAATTGACATTTCTGGATTCCTTGTAAAACCAGGAATATTTTGAATATAAATGTTATATATTTTGCACAAAAGATAACATATTTACTCAGAGTAAACATTATATCTAAAATTTGTATGTCTAATGCAAAATATATAATGTTTATATTCAAAATGATGATCAAATTGTAAGAATTCCAGCAATGGAAATTATATTCTGGCCGGGTAATTTGTATGAATTTTATGAGCTAAAACAAATATCTTCAGTGAATAAAAAAAAAAATATTCTTCACACCGTGGTGCCAGGTGGTCGGTCGCCGGTCCCTCCCTCCCTACCAGATGAATGTGTGGGAATACCAGACTGTTTACCTTTTTAGTAATAAATAATAAATCAGACTAAAGTTAGGATAATATAATTGACATTGCTGGATTCTTTGTAAGACCAGGAATATTTTGAATATAAATGTCATATATTTTGCACAAAAGATAACAAATTTACTCGGAGTAAACATTATATCTAAAATTTGTATGTCTAATGCAAAATCTATTATGTTTATATTCAAAATGATCATCAAATTGTAAGAATTCCAGCAATGTAAATTATATTCTGGCCGGATAATTTGTATGAATTTTATGAGCTAAATAAAAAAATTATACTTCACCTTGTAAAGGGGTACACCCACCGTGGAATGTGAGCATCCTGGGTTCTGGCAGGGCACCGTGTGGAAACGCAGAATGTGGGACCTCGTAAAGTGAGGGTTGACTGTATAGTAAATATAATCCCCAATCCCACACCTGTCTGAAAGACTGATTGTATTTATTAGTGAAAATATGTGTGTGAGTGTGTGCCACAATGTGTGAACATCATTAGAGATGATAACTTATTCACTGGAGAAAAAAAATCGTAATTACCCAAATATATATTATTGTTAGGTCTGAAGTACCAGTCATAAAAATATTTGTCCTATGGTACACTATACAGTAGTCATTATTTCTACTGAATAAGCAGCAATAGTAAAGAAGATTAAATGGTCTACTTATATAGTTACTACAGTATACAGTATCTGTAAAATAAGTCTACTGTAATTATATTTAAATGCACACTGATTATAAATCTTTTTTTACACTTAACAATTTTTTTGTTCTCATTATCCCAAACCTTCTGTTTCAAATACTGTATTATAATTATAAATCATTAGCTTTGTAAATCTCATTCCAAGAGTTACCCAGGGAGATTCATTCAGTTCACGAGATAATGGCAAAGATCTATGCCCCTGTGACCCTCACCTGCAGCAGACTCTTCCTGAGATCTTCCATCCAGAACTTGTGGTGAACCAAACAACTCATCAATGATGTGCATTGAGTGGTTAGTATAACTGTTGGAATGATAAACCTGAGATACTGTGGTGGTAGTTGGGGTTTGGCTTGAATGAGCTGTACCCTCACCACTCTGCTTTGGTTCTGATGCTGGCAGAGGTGAACAATCCCCAAACAAGAGAGTATCCAACACTCTATTGTAACATCCAGTGGGCTTTGTATTCATTCCTGTGTTTTTTTCACACATTTCTTTTTTTCCTAAATTGATTCTGTGAAGGTTGCCACTATTCACAATTTCTGACTTTTTATTACAAGTTGTAGAACTTTCATCTTCAAAGAGTAATCCAGCCAACACACTGTTGTAGTGAAAGTTTGAATTTTTACTCGGTTGTTCAGAAGTAATCCCAGAAGCCATATTTTTTTGACCATTTAATGAATCAAGCTTCTCAGCAGAGGTAATAGCAGTTTTCTCTCTCTTTGACTGGCCATCCTGAATCCTACCTGCAGTACACAACACAGCTGCAGGATCAGGTGCCAAAAGCACATCACAATTATCTTGCATTCTAGTACACTGTGACAATATTTTGCAGTATGGAGACTTAACTATATTAAAATTCTGTGCCTCCTGCTCTTCATTTGACTCTGGTGAAGGTGGGATACAATCACTATCACTCAGATCACAGTTCCTTTCACTATTAGAACTTGTGTCACTCTCAGTGTCTGATATAACAGTTCTGGCCACTTTTGTCTCCTTTATTGAAGTTGCTTCAAATCTTTTGCTGCTGCTCAGGTGAACTAACTGATCCTCTCCATTACCATAGTTTATGTTAACTACTTGCTGATGATTATCTTCCTGCACATTTACTTTCTTTGTAAATGTTTTCCTGCTGACTCTTACAGTTTGTGTCTGTGCATAAGCCTTCCTCTGCCCAGTTCTCAGGTTCCTGTTATAAGTATTAATACATTTTTTTACAATCTTACTTTCATTTCTTACATTTTGAGAGACTTTACATGGGCCAGCCACTGCTTCATATGTACTTCCTGTTTCATCACTTAAGATATTTCCATTTTCTGTATTCTGTTCATTATGGAGTGTCTGTTTTAATTGCCTCACTGATGGAGCACATACATCAAGTTCATCAAACAATTGAGTAAGTTGAGGTAATTGCAGTGTGTGGTACTGTCTCAAGAGCAGCAAGTGTTCCTTAGTGCTACTTGCCAGGACAAGTCTTGAAAACTCACTCAATGTCAACCCAGCAGCTTCTGCCATTACCTTTAACTGGATTCTAAAATAAGGATAGGGGAATAAAAGTTCAATTTTGTGAAAGCAGAAATGTTTAAACTTATTTTAGGAATGAATCTAACAAGAAATGCTGCATCAACAATGGCTCATAACAAGCAAATTAATAATTTGGAAATCATAAATACAGTATGTGCAACATGTACTGTACTTTACTTTCTTTTAAGCTTCTCTCTACCACTTCCCTTAGTGTAAATATTTTATTAATACAGTACACCCTTTTTTTTTTAAGCCATCTGTTTTCCTTCCTAAACAATCAATCAAATTGAGACTGCATCCTGTTGCTGTCAATAAAATATTAGAACAAACAATGAAATTGTAGGATAGGAATAATAACCATAAGATTATACTATGAACACTAGAAATAGATAACAGGAAAAATGAGAGAGAAAAGCATAGGTACAGGCATCCCCATGGTATTGGAATGGTTCCGTTCCTGAAAATCTTTATGTAACACGAAATCCTGTAATGTGGGACCATTTTTCCCATTGACTCCTAATATATAAATTAAACTGTATTCCTATGGAATTCTTTGCAGCCCAAAAACATAACAAGGGCACATAATCTGCCAAGTGCCAAAATAGAAAATGGAGGAAAATGCTCAGGGAGGAATGTGTCAAATACAAAATTTTTCAGGACTCTCACCCATGTGTGCAGGTTCCCAATTAGTTCTGACTTACCCAGAAGACAGAGGAGAGGTTCGGGAATACAATGCAATACTGTACATAACACGTTTCAGCAACATACGGCTCTTAGCAGGTTATGGTCCTGGAGCTCCTCAATTATGAATGAAAATAGACACAAACAATGATTCATTCATGATATAACATGACAATAAATGCACACAGTTGAATTTAACCCACCAGAATCGATGTTGAGTGCTGCATGAGTGCTCTTTTTCCACTCGTCTTAAATAAGGGTTACACAGTAACACACTCATAACTGAACACAAACTGGGGAAAGAATTCAAAATGAGCAGTGCTATTGTTGTAGTGGCTGCTGGGGAGGTTTGCTATCCTCCAACCTTATCTTGTAACTACCACAGAGAATCCAAACAAAATATATTTAATAATTTCTGTGAAATATTTTTTTCTATATTGCCATTTTTTCTTTTGAAAATCTTGATAAAATAACCATAATAACATAAGGGCAAATACAGTCCTGAACACAGTCGCATAAATGAACACCACTGGGGAAAGAATTCTGAGGAGCACCTTTGTTGTGGTGGCTGCTGGAAACTGGGGGGGTGAGCCATACTCCAACTGTATTTACCACAGAGATATCCACACAAATAAATTTTACACTTTGGGTTAAAATTGCCTTTTTTTTTATTAAAAATTTTACCAAAATTGCATAGGGGCAAGTTTTTTGTCTGTATCCCCAATTTTTGCTCAATTTCAAAATAAGGTATGGGCGAATTTCTGTAACCTGAGTTTCCATAATGCCAGGATGCCTGTATAGCAAAAATGAAGATGACTCGGAGATAACAGCAGGAATATGGGAAAAAAAATGGAAAGGGGAATGAGGCACAGTTGGTCTCATCACAAACATGGTGGGTACACAAGGGTGGTGCATACTGTGAAAAATTAGTCATATATAAAAACATACAATATTATACAGTACATTTATTATTCTTTAGTATAACAACATATACTAAAAGAAAATAAATATTTCACTTCAAAACTTAAAGGTTGTGTCTCATAATGAAAAAAAGAAAGAAGACAATTCTGTATACAGTAGTACTACTACAATAATTAATGATTTTCAAATTGAATGACTACTTCCCTACTTCATTTGCACGTGCAGTAAGATTAATAAAAAAAATAAAAGGTTGGGTGTCATGAACTAATATGAGATGAAAGTGTATGTATGTTGAAATATGAAGAGTGCACATGCACTTCATTTCTCATGTGAGTGCTGCTCTGTATGCATGGGGGAGCTCAATTTTGATAATGATTCTCTGAGATGCAGGATCTCTTCTACCCAGTGATTAGCTAAGATGCCTAAGGAATTCCTTCTCATCACTGATTGGCATGAGGGGAGGGGGAATCCAATTGTTAACCTAGTTCTGGTCCCAATTGACAAGAGGTGCTGCTGTGACAGGCCTAGCTAGCTAGCCAGCAATAATTTAAATTTTTAGATGTGTTTATAATCGCCAAGTCATGTTATGGATTAAGCAGGCAGAAACAGTTATGAAAAGATCTTAACAACCACCTATGACACTAATCTGCATTACAACCACAAATGTCATAGCAATAACAAGTAAATCTGAAGAGGTGATGTATATGAGGAAGAGATGGAATTTGGGTGTTCTCTGTGTGGCTGAAGGGAGTGTATTCAGGAGTCACCCATTGTCACTTTGATTACTCACACTACAGTACAGTGGTCCTTCGGTTAACGAACACAATTCGTTTCAGAAGGTCGTTCGTTAACCGAAACCATTGTTTCAATGGGATTTTGGGTAATTGGTTACAGCTCACAGAAAATTACATACAAAGTAAAAAAAAAATGCAGTAAAGTACACTTACTTTGAGATGTATATGTAGAAGGCTCCTGGTTGATGATGATGATGGGAATTAGAAGTGAGGGTGGAGGAGAAGGGAGAAGAGAAGGAAGTGGGGGTGGAAGAGAAATCACCCCATGCTTGATGCAGTCATTTCACCCATAAAATTTTAAGTTCACTAGGTGTAATTCAAGATTATTTTCTTTAAATCAAGACTGCACTGCACTATATATTGTCAATATGTTAAATAAATTTCAGAATGACCAATACAGTAATTGTACTGTAGAAGCTTAAAAATACTCTGTGTTCAAGAGACCCACAAGCAAGATGTTTCCTCCACTGAACAGAGATACAAACTGAGGCCTTGGTGGGTGAGTGAAGTGGCTGATGGGCACACCAAAAACTAGTTCCCTGTACTGCAATTATGTTAAATAAGTGTTAAAATGACTAAAAATTTTAATATAAAACTTGGAAAATTATTGAATAGTACAACCTTCTTGATATTTACTCCAATTTTAACGAATGTAAGCCCTAGAACCGATTTCTGTATTGGCGGACTAATCTTCCAGCTGGTGAGCAAGCCAAAGCATGTTAAAACATTTTCATAAAAATTTTGTTAACCGAATTTTTGTTCGTTAACCGAGGCGTTCATTAACCGAGGGACCACTGTACTTCATCCATGAAACATTAAAAACAAAGTTGAAATCCAAGGATGTGTACAGGATTACACATTAGGATAGTATCTGGTGTCAAGCAGCGCTAATGGCAAGCTCTACCCATGAGGTTTTTAAGAATGGTACAGTAGATCTCGCCTATCTCCTAAGATAATCATTAATAGCTAGCTGGGAGAATGAATGCCATGTACCGGGTAAGAATAATTTATTTGATTATACTTTTAATTTCCCTTCTAGTGGTTTCATGGAATTTCTACCCTAATCTGTAAACATTAATCTCTTACTTAATCATGGTACTCACTTGCACATAGTAGTAGGAGTTTGTCCATACAGGATAGTTTTTGTCTCACATATTATGGTCCTCTTATCATCAACTGGATAAGATGTACCAGTGCGTTGTCTCCACACCTCAAGAAGTGGACGATAGCTACTGCTGGAGTTCCGTCTTGCTAGATCTATATAAACCAGGGAAATATGAATAAATTCAACAAAAAAAATTATTAAAAAAAAATTATAATGAATATAAACAGACGTACTGTAAATGTGAGTGAAGATAAAATTTAGATAAGAGTAATAAATATGCCAAGAAATGGTGTGTTTTTTCCTCAAAAGTGTCAGTTCTTCTAAAGAATTCACTAGCATTCAAAACAATACAAAATCAAAGACCTAAGAATAAAAAGAAATAGTGTACTCCACTAACAAAAAAAAAAAAAAAAGTGACAGTTCAACTTGTATCATTTGTATATCCTTAGGTTGAAACACTTACAAAACCCTGTTATTCTCCATCACCGTACACTCTTCAGTTTAAAAAAAAAAATAACTCTTTAAGTTGTTTCTTAAAGGGCTCCACAAAAGTCAGCTGCTTCATGGATGCAGGCAACCAATTGTACAGTCTGAGTGCTGTACTGTATAGAAAAAGGATTGGGCAGCAAAAGAACATACCCATACTGCTTTAGGCTCCTCAAGACATGAGAGGTCATCACTACTACACAAAATCATTTCGGAATGTGTGGTCAGAGGATTTAGTAGGTTGGCCAAATACTTGCCTTAAAAGTACTTAGGCAGAGTTTGAACTCTATCCTAGCTTTAATTGGAAGCCAATGAAATTTGATCAAGAATGGAATAGTGAGAGCAAAAATAAGCCTGACAACCCTGTTCAACAGTGTGTGAGCTTTCTTCAGTAGATAATTAGGTAGGCAGACCCATAAAGAGTTACAATAGTCAAACCGAGACAAAATTAGTGAATGTAGTAGTGTCACATGACACTGTCTATCCAAAAACATATAGATATTGAATATGAAAGTTGCAACTCTTAATCACTGAATCTGTATCCTCTTTAAAATTAAGTTTTGAGTCAAAGTACACTCGAAGATTACAAATCGAATCGACAGGACTGATTTGTACTTCACCAAAGTTTAAATAGAGCCAAAATCATCAGATGATGATAATTTTGGTTGTGCCATCATTCAGCTTAAGTTTTCTCTTAGCCATCCATATCTTAATATCAGACATCAAGGACTTCATAATCTCCTCAATATCCTCATATTTATTATTTTTACATAAAGTTTGTATCATCAGCATAGAAATGGTAGGCAATATTGTACCATGAGCATCCAGCAGTAATGTACACTCCTTGCCAATGCATTATGGGCGAGGTGGCTGACAGAAGTGATGTTTGCTGTAAGCGTTTCACACCCCTCCATGCCAGCCAGCTGGGGCTGAGGCAGGCATCTTACATCTGGCAGCAAAAGGAGACTCAAGGACAAGTCAGCCAGCAATCAAAACGTTCACCAGTTGCCTGCTTAAATTTTGTGAACGAAGATTTATGGGTTTTACCCCCCGACATTGTCCCTATACTGTATATTGCCACAACACTTGTTGTTTCTTTGACTTTTTTAACACAATGGGCAAGAGGAAAGATTAAACAAAGGAGCAGATAGCGTCAATTACTAGTCTGCATAAGGGCAAGAAACCTGTAAAGGAATTATCAAGAATTGTTGGTGTGAGTGAACGATCAGTTCAGATTTGGATTAAACGATTTCGAGATGACGGTGGGTTGGCAATACCAGTGCACAGCGGAAGGGAAGGCTCGAAAAACTTCCCAACGCACGATAACTGTTCTTAAGAGGCAACTTGATGATAATCCACGTCTGTCAGCACGGGAATTGAAAGAAAAATCCTGTACTTCTAGGCGATGTTTCTGTAAGGACCGTTCACCGTCACATCCATGACGACCTGTAGTTTCGTAGCCACTATGCACGCAAGAAGCCACTCCTCACCCTTGTCCAGAGCGGTCGCTTTTGCCAAGGCTAATGCTCAGTGGGATACGACCAAGTGGAAGCACGTGCTTTGGAGTGACGAAGCAACGTTTTCCATTACTAGAAGTCGTACTTTTAATATGTGCAGGCGCCCAGGGAGTGATTTGCTTGACCCAAAGTTCACTTTTAGCACTATTAATCATCCTGAGTCACTAATGGTGTGGGGTTGCTTCTCGTACTTTGGAACTGGTGATCTTGTTGTGCGACCGAGGAATGTGATGATGAACCAATTTAACTACTTGGAGCTGCTTTGTGATTATTTGCCCGGGTCTTTTGAAAAATGCCGCACTAATGTGTTTATGCAGGATGGTGCCCCTTGTCACACAGCAAAATCTGTAATACAGTGGCTTGTTTACTGTCAGGTAGACTTCATAAGTGATTGGCCAAGCAATTTGCCTGACCTTAATCCGATAGCAAATATGTGGAGCATCATCAAGCGACATCTACAAGGCAAGGACATAAATACCGTCCCCAAGCTGGAGGCAGCCATTGGTGAGGAGTGGAATAATTTAGACCCACAAATGAACCACGATTTGGCAGTCCTTTCCGTCATGCCTGCAGGAGTGTATCAAGAGGAAAGGGAGACCTATAGACTACTAGAAGTTTGTTAACTTCTCAGATTAATTTTTATTAAAATTTCATCTTGTTGTTTATGTCCGTCACGACCCCGTGCATAATGCAATGGCGAGGAGTATAAGACTACTGGTATAGATGTATGCAGAAGCGGTTTCAAAACTGATTCCCGTGGGAATCCAAACTGCAAAAGGACTGGGTCTGAAATGGTTCCACCAACCATCACACATTGAGATCGCTCTGACAAATAAGAACATAAGAATGGAGGAAACTGCAGAGGGCCTATTGACCCATACTGGGCAGTCCCGTTTATACCCAACCCCTATTGCTCATATAAGCATCCAACCTATGTTTGAAGCTATCCAGCGTATTCGAGTTAATGATGATATTTGGTAACTTGTTCCATTCATCCACTACTCTGTTTCCAAACCAGTGTTTACCTATTTCACGCCGAAATCTAAATTTGTCTAATTTAAAACCATTGTTACGAGTTCGCTCCTGGTTGGATAGTTTGAGTACCTTTGTAATGTCCCCTTTGTTTAACCCTGACTTCCATTTATACATCATCATCAACGACACCAAACGACCAAAGTTGCTGAAGCAACAGATGATGATCCACTGTGTTATAGGCTGCAGAGACCAGGAGGGAGGACTTTCCTCTGCAAGTGTTTATTACCAAATCGTTATGAATTTTACATACCCATAAGACAGTTTCAGTTGAATGGTGCTTCCTATGGGCTGACTGGACAAGGGGGACCACTTCATTTCTCTCCAACAGAGGAAATAACTGATCCAGCATAGCACGCTCTATTATCTTTGATGCGAATGAAAGATTGGAGACTAAATGATAATTTGACATTTTCAGTATCAAAACCAGGCTTCTTAAAAAGTGGACGCAATAAAGCCTGTTTCTCAGATGACACAAAATCACCCTCTGCAAAGCATTCATTTATGAATCTACAAATAAAGTCTGCAGCATATTCATAAGGGAGTTGTACATATAGGATCAAGATGACAAAATGTCTTCTACAAATCTTTGATACAGTATAGTGCAGAATGTTGTTCACTCCTACAGGACAAAATGGCATAACTCAGTTGAAGTTCAACTGAAAATTTCTCATTTAAAGAAACACCATCAAATTCATTTCTTATGCGTGATATCTTTGTCATAAAAAGCAAGGAAAATTCTGAGACAAGCTGAGCATCTGAAGTGGAAGAAGACCCAACAGCCAATTCATAAATGCATAAAATTTTTGCTAATCACTGCCACAAGAGGCTACTTGACTTCTGTAGTACATGTAGTAAACTTTGTGTGCCCTCACTGAACAAACAACAGCCCTACATGCAGTCACATACTCTGACCTAGTACGGTCTGTTCGTTCAGGACTTCTATGATCCTTATGCAGAGAACTAATACAAGAGTCATACCAAGGAAAGTCATCTCATACTGTAATTCTCTTTGTGACCTCCGGACGATAATGGTCTGAAATGGACTGGAAGACATCATTATGTAATTTAACCAACTCCTCAGAGGATAAATCAAAGAATGATCAACTTCCTGATCAATCATGGTTTCCTAAAGATAATTGTTTTACTGTAAGAAGGGGGGTCTTGGGATATTAAAACCAAAAGTAAAAGAAGCATGGTCAGAGTCTAATACACAATCACAGTCAGCTGGAGACAAAAATAGGTCTAGTGTGTGTCCAGAAAGATGTGTTGGAGACGACACATGATTGAAAAACTGTTTACATTGAGAATTTCTAAGAACTACGAGGAAAAAGGTTTCAGAGATGGGCTATCAATCCAATAATTAAAGTCATCACATATTAACCATTGCCTGCTCTTTCCTGAAAGTCTCAAGATAGTAGCCAAATTCATCCATGAAATCCCTATCTGTACCTAGATGACCAGGATGATAGACAAGCAATTCCAATAACTTGACGATGAAGATTTATTAATGCCTCCATGAATTGAAAGGAGGAAAAACAGAGTCACTCCTAATCAGTCTAATGTTGAGCAGGGCCAAAGACTACATTAGCACCACTCTGCCACCCAGAGCTCATGCAGCAGGTTTGGGAACGTGAATAAGATAACGAGTCTTACGAAGAGCACTACAAATGAGATTGATGTCTGATCCATACAACCACTTTTCAGTTACACAGAGGATATCCAAGTTGAACTCCCTCAGAAACTCAATAACTTAACGCATCTTGTTTTGGATCACATGGATATTAAGCAGACCTACTCTTAATAGACTCAAAGAGGGCACTATGTATTTTTTGAACAATTAAAGTCAGTGTTCTCAATTGCTTTTTTACATTAGGAAGTCATCATAAGGGCAATCTTTACTTAATGCAACATGAATGACTGACTCAGTTGGTACTGCAAGAGTGAATCAATTTGCACAGTAGGGTGAGGTCTTATTTGAGCATGCCCTAGACTCATGACTGTCTGCAAAAAATGGACAAACTGGACAACCAGTCCTCTTCTTCTACTATAAAGTGGTAGGAAGCTCTGCATCTTAGTAGAAACTGTGTCTTCTACTGTTTATGCTCTAATCATCT